GTGTGTCATCAACCTCTGGCTCGGGGAGCTGAGTGATAATTTCTCGTGTATCTGGTATTGGAGAAAAGCGGCCACTGTTGGAAAAAAAAAAAAGACTTTAATTAAACTACCAAAAGTGATCTTCAAAATGAATGATTGTTGTCATAAGAGGGAAGTAAGTTTCCAGAAAGAGAAAAATAAAAACAGATATCGGCTATTCTGAAACTGGAATGTTGTGCTCGCCGCCATGTTGCAGTAGCAACTGTTTGTCTGGAATTTGCGTGAGCTCAGCAAGCGGTTAACTAACTTAACGGTAGTTATTCAGGAACAGACGGAAATTATACGGGGTGGGTTAGGCCTCGGAGACTGTGTGGTTCCTAATCACAATTTAAAATGTACCCTACATTAATACTTGAAAATTGAAGGGACACAAGAATTATATCGGTATAGCCCCTCCCCCCTCCCCCCTCCTCATCCTTAGCTTCTTGGCTTCGCAACCTTGTTCCCAGGGCCTTTTCCCTTAGTTGGGGGTAGGGACGAGGTTGCTGGCTCTGCTGGCTCTGCTGTTCATTATAATTTTCATTGAAGGGCCGATACTACCCACACTACGCCACTTTGATAAAATTAATTCGTGTACCGTTGGATTTTGAAAATAAGATGAACAACTGCGCTAAATTATAAGCGGTGTGACACAAATTTGATGCGATGGTTTCACCATAAAGCTGGCACGTCACGTTTTGGAACCATGACAGTTCCTTGAGGCAGCTAAAGTCCCATATGGTTCTACGACAAAAATTTTGTGTCATGCTCGGGAAAACCTCTTAGTCCCTTTTGTGATTGATACGTTTGCTTTTATTTTTCTCAGATGTGTCCCAGATCCAGGCCGAAATTCGCAGTAACAGCTAAACACTTAGAATTTATTCTTGAGGGATACACTAAACGACCCGAACTTAACAAAGCGATCGAGACGAGTCCATCAACGGAGGAAATAAAATATGAAAACGAAACTGCAGCTGTGGCAGACCATGAAATTTCGCCAGAATCTTCACCTCCGGCCATCATCGTAAGCACCGACGAAATATCACCGGTGGCGATTCGGTCGAACGAGAGGCGCCGACAGTCGTGGATCGCCGGCCGATATAAACTGTTCAACACAGGTACCGATGATTTGTTGAAAAACACTCCGGGTAAATTGAAGAGTTTCTTTCATCGGGTCCTTCGTCTACAGACTCATTACGACCCTTCGAAGCAGAAAAAAAGCAAAGAGAACTCCAAAAGTAGATCTGCTTCCCAGTTGAAAAGCTTCAGTGTGATGAACTCTGATGACGAAAATGTCCCTAATCTTGAACAAGCAAGCTCCCCGAATACAGATGCGAGGAGGTGTCTTCGATTGGGGAGCTCAGAACAGGATAAGTCGTGCGAATTGGGATATCAAGAAGATTCCTTAGACGGAGTATTTTCCCCTCTGAGTCCCTGTTCGGAAAGTGCTATTTTTGTAACTTCGCCGTCAAGTCGACCGTTGTCTCCGAAGATGCCCGAGGCCCCTCAGTCCCCTCCGAATCTACAGAATCCCGCTGAGTGCGACACAACTTTGTCCAAACTGTATGTTAAGCCGAGAAGCGAGTCAACACCGTTGTTTCACGAATCCAGGTCGGAGCCGATATCGAGACACTCAGCTTCCCACAGGGATTGCCAAGTGAGCAATGTCGATCAAACATCGTTCGTTACGCAAGGTGACGTATCGGGGAAGATAAAAGACAAAAAGTCGCCCTTCTGGTTTCTTAAAAGAAAGGGGAGCAAATTCAAAGATACGGAGTAGGGAAGCGTAGAATTATCCAAAGAATTTCCGTAGTGAGTGGTCAGTAGTGAATCCGCCCGCCAACCATTTCGTAAGTCGAAGTTAAGTTAACTTTTCCAGAGGAATTGGAGGCTTGTGTGAGAAGGAGCAATTTTTCAATTGAGTGTTAAAAGTGGCCCAGGCTTTCGTAGGGTTTTTTAGAGCCTACTCTGTGATTGGCCTAGAAGCCTTGCGCCACCCTCTCTCAACCAATCAGATTCAAAGCTAATACCAATTGCGACCTTGTATCTCGTTTGTTCCCGTGGTTAAGGTGATTCCTCAAAGAAAAAGTTCCCAAACAATTTTTCCTACTTGTACCCTACCAATGTCTGTTTCGAGAAAATACAATCAAAGAGATATGTCACCGTGCTTGTTTAAAGAGAGATGATGGGCCAATCTTACCTTATTTAGGCCTGGCTAATCACGCGCGTCATTTCATCGGTTCACGTTACAGTTTGCGGTGGCAGGAAGCAAGGGTTTTTAAAGTAACTTGAAAAATTACTTGTTAGGTAGAAAGTCTCGAGCGTATGGAACAATTTGATGTATAATTTGTGGGAAAATCTCGCAATTTTAAGTGACATCGAAAAGTTCCTCGAGTCGTTGCATTCAAGGTCATAATATGCATCCTCGAATAACGGGGTTCGTGCGCGCTTTTAGCTATATCTTTTTTTTTCCCTTCAATTATTTTTTTAATTTCTCAAATTTTGTACACCAAAATTATTCGATAAAAATATGGGTTACCGTGCATGTTCAAGAGCTAAAGACCATTGGACCTCTTTACCGGTCCATGATTTAAAAACAACACCTTGTTCACGGAATGCGCGCGCTTATTTGCCTGGTTACGGGATTTTTATGCGCGGTACAGGATGCGCAATACTGAGGAATCACCTTAAGACTTCACTTTTATTTATTTTGAGATTTCATTGGTGCGTTGTGTTTCTTACCTCTGTTCTGATTGGCGGTCGTGATTTCCCTACTCTTGGTCTTTTAACACTCAATCGTTGGGCGCTCTGATTTCTCGTAAGCTTTTCTCTCTCCATTCTGCCTTGTGGAGCGATCTTTGCTGATGTCCTTTTATGTACTAAATTAAGAATGAAGAGTAGGCATCAAACAAATTCCGCCAAGAACATCTCATGAAGACTGAAAATTTTTGTTGAAATTTTTTTTTTTTGTCAAAAATTGTTTAGCTGTTCTTGTGAAAAGCAGCATCAGCAAAGGTCGCACAATTGTAACGTTAAAAATGCCATAAAACCAAAAACTTCCAAAAAATATTTGTTACCCCGTCACGGCCTTAAAATACCTTGCTATAAAAATGGCTGTTTTGTTTAAGAATGGCAATGCAACACATAACTGTTTTTGTTTTTCAACTTTTTTGGGGGGTTATTGTGATATATTTTTTTAAACCCGTTCTAACTTAAGATAAGAAAGCCAACCTCTATGTTAATGATATTATTTTGTCATCGGTTTGTACATTATAACATTTTTCAGCACAAGGTTGATTTGTATATGCGTACAATTTCATTCAGGTGGAAAATAACATAACAAAGGCGATCGTTAAGTTCGATACAGAAATTTTTTAATTTGGTGTCGAAGTTAATCAGCTATTGCATTGGTATTCACTTTTATTCTCTCTGTGGTTGGTCCAACCAATCCCACTTGGTCGCCCGCGTTTTCCCGCGTATATCACGCAAACAGTAATTCGTCTTCACTTCTACACAAAAACGTTGAGACATCACTTAAAATAGTAAGTTTAAAAGTTCTATTTTAAATAGAAAAAGGGAACTTGGGAAATAATGGATTTATTAATTTTTTGCGAACGTGGCAATGTTTGGTAGCCAGACATTTTTGGACAACAGAAACGTAATCTAAGTGATAGGTAAAATGCAAATTTCTTCTTCACCTATTTTCATAAGATAATTCACATTTGTGTTCACAATTTGTTTTCGTCGTAAGCGTGTCCTGATATTCACAGAGGAGATGGCTTTGTAATAGGGAGTACCTTTCATTTATTATATCATGCATCGCAAGTAAATTGTGATTTTCGTTTCACATCATGTCATTATGATAGAATTTCAAGTATATTTGAGCCGATAAAGGTGAAATTATAAGATGTACAGTTATATGTGTTAAACGCTATGTCAGTTCAAAGTTGAAATATTTGTAATTTGAAAAGAATGAGAATTTTAATGATTGTGAAGTTATATAATTTATTTACGAGAATGATATCGGTTGCCTAAGTTTAGGGCTGTTCGGTTTATCCAAGAATAATTTAACACTGTCAGAAAAAACAGAGATTAATTAAATATTTATAGTTCACCGTTAACAGTGTCGATCTTATCCTTGTTTGCTCATTTACTCATTATTGTGATTATTTGTTACCCAACTTTTCGGATTTTTTTTCGTTCCGGCGACATTTCATTGTGGTGATCATGAAATACACTGTATGTTTGTGTCAAGCCGCGACCGGGTAGGGTGGGGGTATAGACCACTTTCATGAATGGCTGCCGTATAAATATTCTTTTGTTTAAATTTAAATTAGCCCTTCTGGCCTCGCTTGAGATAATGTATTCTTTTGAATTTTGTACTGGAGAACGAAGCCAGTAGGGCTAATTTAAATTTAAACAAAAGAATATTAATCCGGCAGCCTTTTATGAAAGTGGTTGTTATTATAGTCTGTGTTTCGTAAACAGTAGTAAGATGAAAAGGACAAAAAAGGTAATTGATATAAGATAACAGCCCAAGTTTAAGTACATATGTGCGATGTCACATCGTAAGTTGGTCCCAGTCTTCAGCAGTATTTCCGATGCACAGAAAACCATACAAATCACCGCGTTGGAAAAATAACTTCGTAGATTCCATATAGCAGACTATCAGTAATTAGCTCTGCTGATTTGGTCTTGCTTTTTTCGATATAGGGAGCTAGCAACTCGAGTCGTATGGAGAGCGAAATAGCATTAAAACCTGACGGAAGTGGTGGAAGAAATACGTGTTGGGTTTTTTGTGAGCTTGGGACAAAGGAAATAATTTCAAATCCTCGCTAAAGCGAAAATACTAGTGAGACGCAAAGTGTTTAAAACTAAACTCTTTTTATAACACTGTTGCAAAGTGGCCGGTCTAAGCCGAGTCACGTGACCCACGAAGGCCGGGAACCGTTCATACATTATGTATACCCAATTGTTACACTCACGAGGGATCGAACCGTCTCAGTTCTTTGGTTCCGCGTTCCGACGCTCTAACACTGCGCCACAAATGAGACGAAGTTAGCTAGGCCATTGCTGCGAGCACTTTTGACACATTTTGCTGGAATCAGCAATGTCTAAAGCGTCCAATGAGTTGAATAAGATTGATGGTAAATTTTGAGCTCGGTAAGGAAATGAATAAAAATGTCTTTTGGTCAGTTTTTTCTTAGTGAATAGGAAAAATTGACTCAGAATAACATTTTCTATTAAACTTACCCACCAAAAGAAGATTTGTTTCACCGGCAGGAATCTTAGATTCAGACGTCAAACCTTACGGTCAGCGGTTACTGATATGAACCCAAGAGGACTCAACATGGCGGAGTTTTCGGAAAATTCGCGCGAGAAATAACTCGGAAGAATTTCTCATCGCTAATGCCATGCGTGAAGCAAGAAGAAGGCGCCTTAACATGCAAATAGCGTTAAACCACCTAGTTGCTCGGAGGAGGAGAGTTTTGAATGCTTGTTCTCTTGTTTTGTTGTTTATTTCATCGCAACGAAACAATATCCCTCCTGTGTCTCGCTCCTCGCGTCGGTTGAGCAGAAACACTGGATGGTAGGAGAGTGCTTGGAACAATTATTCGGAGGCAAGATTCAAGAAAACATTTCGGATCTCTCGGTCAACGTTCAGATACATATTAAATCGCATTGGCCCATTTCTTGCTAGAGAAACAGTGAAAGAGGATCCAATTTCCCCAGAACTGAGGCTAGCGCTTTGTTTATATCGATTAGGCCGCGGAGATTATTTATATACCATTGCAGAGTTGGCAGCTGTAGGCGTATCTACAGTCTGCAACGGCCTGCTCCTCTGAAACTTGGCTCGCAATATACTACTGAACTGCCCGTTTTCCAGCCCTTGACAGTTTCATCGTTCTCGAGGACAGAACAGGGCATGCAGAAGTATTCCTTGCACCTCAAACAAGTATGTTTTGTATTCTTTAGGCACGAAGAACAAGATTGTTCCTCTTTCCCCGCCATTTTTTTCGAATGTAATCTTATGCGCATGGCAACTACCTAAAAATTAGTGGGATTGTGGGAAAAAAATTACTAATTTAATATATTCATAATGTATGCATTAAGCACGGCACATGTGAAGATCGACGTATGAATCGAAGTCGATCTTTTGCCGTTATATTCGACAAGCTCAGTCGAATAGAACGGCAGAGTCGATCCTAATACAAAAGCGTCGATCCTAATTGATTCAAACTTTACATGTGCCGAACCTAATTATTAGGTTCGGCACATGTAAAGTTCGACGTTTGAACCGGGCCTAACTTTTCCTCTCCTCCCTCCCCGCTCCGCGCTCCCTCCCCTCCCTCCTCACGGTAAAACAATTGGAAGGTCAATTGCGAGGCGCACGAAATGTTTGATTTGAATTACAAATATATTTCCTCACTGATTATTCAATTTCGTTGAGTCGGCATCTCACGTGGAGCTCAAAACTTTGCTTGGCTGCTTGGTCTACAAGTTACTCCCGTTAGGTAAAAGTTTGGTCCGAAAAATCGTAGCCTAACATGTGCTAAACGCCGTTAAGTCTGCCAGTTTAAGTAATATTGTTTCCGTGGCTTAAAAGTCAGATTTCGGTCTGTAATGATCCTCGAGTTACAACTGGCAACGGCAAGCGTGAGTCGAGCCGTAAAGTGGACGAAATCTGGTCTCCTTTGAATTCAAGTAAGTTACATAGTTCCATTCTAATGTCTTCAAGATAAGGTTTTTTATAATTTTGTGAGTTAAGCTCTTTGTCTCTTCCATTGAAAGAAAACTAAGACGGTGCAACGAGTAATCGTTGGGGATCATTTCAAATTGAATTGCTGTCGGCCGACAGTTGACCGACAGTCGGCCGACAGGTTTTTTGGGGAGCTCTTCTTCACTATCACCATCAAACTTCAGTTCAATGCTGTAAAATATTCATTTCTTGTCTGAATAAAGGTTTTTGCTTACCGTTTATTTGAGTACACCTTGAACAATTAGGTGTATCTGATAAGTACTCTATTGGTAGCCAAGCGGTGTGCGCACTGGGATTGCGCTGCATTGTGGTGCGATGCATTTAGAATGCATCGCATTCATTTAGAATGCATTTAGAAATGCGATGCATTTAGAATTTTCAAGATGGCAGCGAAAGCTTGGTAAGTTGGTGAGTTTCGTCGAGCATTTTCGACCTAAAACAGAATGTATCTCTTTGGTTTTTTTGCCGAAATGTCTCTTTCAACTTCCTAACAGTTAAAAAACATGGTTTTTGGGTTGAAACGTAAAACGCTCTTTTGTTTCTAATAGCCGATTTTGTCTACCTTAGTTTACTGTGAAATTGACACCGTTTCTTTAAAGCTTAGAATTTCTTACCTCTGTTAGTTTGAGTGATGAAAAAGGTGTAAAAGGCTTCTTTGATCTTTGTTCTAACCCTGTATATAAACGCTCCCCATCGCTCCCCAGTGCATCTTCAGATAAAACCGTTTGAACATGGTTAACTTTTAGGTAAATATGGCGATCAAAGACAACAAGCGGCCTTACGCCGGCGTTCGTCACCGTTCGTAGATAGCTTTGAAATATACTATCAAATCTTCAATTTAAAACAAAACATACTGGACTTTTATAATCGAGAAAACACCTTTCTAAACGAAGTTAAAGGATCATTACTAAAATTTCTCACCTCTCTCGATTTCCACGTTCACTTATGGACAAATACGAAGCCCTATGTATCCAACAAGAAGCATTGATAGCCGCAGTTTGGCTAAAAATTTCACGCAAATTGATTTTTCAGATGAATTTTTTTCCAGAAAAGGCCAGAGACAGTTGATTTCTATTACGCATTCAATCAGCTAGCCCCGAAGAGTACCCGACAGCGTCTGCATGCAAATGACTTAGATTTTAAATTTCACCCATGAATCAGCGCTATCCCAGTGCGCACACCGCCTGATTGGTAGCTTGACATGAAAAGGCACAATTCCTCACCTCCACCCTACCCCCCAACCGGAGTGAAGTTTACCTGTTGTTTACATAAAACGTTACATTCAGATTGTTTTAGTATATATCACAAAACTAAATATTGCGTGCGCTGATTGGTTAGTTCGGTAGTGAATAGCAAGTACTATTCACCTCCAAGCAGCTAAAGAGCTAAATAAATCCGGCTTATAGAAAAAGTTGAATGAGTGATAATGCTGAGATGGGGAGAGGAGGATAAGGAGGAGGATAAGCAAGGGGGGGGGTGGGTAGGGGGCGATTCCTGGCAAGTAGTGATACTCGTGAAGTTAGGAAAGTTTGACTCGTTTCTATTTCCAATGAAAATTATATGGTGGAACCCTGATAACACGCAGTGTCATGTAGTGGCGCGGGGTGTACGTGTTTCGAACGTGTAGTACGAGGAATACTGCGGTACACGTGTAGTACGAGGAATACTGCGGTACACGTGTAGTACGAGGAATACTGCGGTACACGTGTAGTACGAGGAATACTGCGGTACACGTGTAGTACGAGGAATACTGCGGTACACGTGTAGTACGAGGAATACTGCGGTACACGTGTAGTACGAGGAATACTGCGGTACACGTGTAGTACGAGGAATACTGCGGTACACGTGTAGTACGAGGAATACTGCGGTACACGTGTAGTACGAGGAATACTGCGGTACACGTGTAGTACGAGGAATACTGCGGTACACGTGTAGTACGAGGAATACTGCGGTACACGTGTAGTACGAGGAATACTGCGGTACACGTGTAGTACGAGGAATACTGCGGTACACGTGTAGNCACAAGCCTTCGCCCTCCGTTCAAGTGCTGCTACATTCTGACCAGGGTCTTCTCTTGCAATTGCAGTCGCAATTGCGTGGACGTTCGGGTAATGAGGAGCTTGACAAGCTTGGTTAACTGCGCTCACCTTCTCATAACAGGAAAAAATCAAAGGACCATCCCCTTCCAGGAAATACGTGGCCTTCACAAAATGTTCGCCGATATCTATGGTAGCGGCAAGCTCAAGCTTCAAGAGCATGAGTTGCTGTGGATCAGAAAGAATCTCTTGAAGTTGTGGTAGAATCTGCGGGCAGACCTTTGCATCCTTTGCTTCTTCCATGTACCTTTCGAGATCTCCAAAT